TTGTTTTACTGAAAAGCAAAGTCTCAGAATCACCATTTCCAAGAAAGAACTCCATAAATATTATTAGAAAGTAAAAGTGACAGGTGGTTAAAGACTAATACTGTATTTGGTAGTACACCAAACTCCCCCCCTCAAAAAAACCCCCAAAGTGGAGAGAACAGTGAATGTTCCTATGTTGGTGGCTGGAGTGGCGGAGAATTGCAAGACAGTTTTGACTTATAATGAATGGATGTTTCAGCCATTTTCTGTAAGTGCATTTAACTCTTTCTCATGATACTTTGGGAACCACTATAGTAAATGGTAAAGATTATATTTATATGTAGCATAGAGCTTTACCTAGACTTTGCTTTTTCTAAAATAAAATATTTGATCTTTACAACCAGTCTCACTGTAGCATAATTTGTATACAATTGTATTTTGTATTTGTAATAAAAAGTGTATTCTTTCTACCGCCAAAAATCAGCATAAACATTGGTAATATTAACTACTTATTTAGACTGAGAAATGTAGCTATGTTATGTTCATTCACCATACTATGACTTGAATTATCTTTTTGTGCCTTCAAGACAGTGTTGACTCCTAGTAATTTCCAGGCTAAGTCCCCACCATTTTCTTGGCAAGATTTCAGAAAAGATTCCCCATTAAAATCATCAGAATTATTCAGGAAGTTTACTGTTTTACCTATCCTATGAGGGAGAACCAAAATCTGAATGGACATGCCTGTTAGATATGGACCTGGTTGATTACAAAATTCAGTGATTTCCTTTTCTGAAAAACTGTGTAGTGGATAAACTTCACATTATCTATTGTTGAGGAAGGAAATACATTCTTCCTGGTGTGCACTATAGGATAATCTACTGGAGAGGAAGTTAAAAATCAATGAGCTAAGTATGTAAATGATCTCTGATTTTATACCAATTAGTCTCAATTAACAGGGGAAAAATATCAGTTTTAACTTGGTCTGACCAATCTGAAAATATTATGCTACTCTGGAGTATTTTTTTGTTTTCAGATGCTTCACATTATACCTTGGATAATGGCTGCATTACAGGACATTCATATTGTGCTTTATTTTAGACAATATCATTCATTCAGGTGAACAAAGTAGCAGCTCTCCCTCACCTAACCTTCAAATGTAACACAACTAGAAGGAAGAACAAGAAGGGTTCAGTTTGTTCTGAGACACTCGGAAATCATCTTTAGCCACAGCCTAGACATATAACTCAATCTCTTGCAAATGACTATGAGAAAGAAAAGACTCAACAAATAATTGGATGGATCCAGATGAGAGAGTAAATTATTTAGATTGAAAAAGGTTGGATTAAGGTCAGAAGCTTCTAAGTTTCTGTTGGACTTTCTAAATTGGGGCTGTTTTACAGAGTGTGTGATTGGGACAAGCCCTATTTTTTGGACACCAGGACTAGTTAATTACTCGATAAACATTACCGTGATGTTTGCATAGTTCCTACCTTAGTCTGCTGTATCAGAAGGTAAAAACTGCCATATAAGAATCCAAATGCAAAATAAAGATAAAAGACATACCCATTGCTTTCCTAGAATTCTCATTAGTGTTCAGTGCTCAGGGACTTCCTATATGCAATGAGGATACTCAGCTTTATTGCAAATACTGTATACTTTCAGCCCATTATACACACTTGCCATTTTGACCATACAATCCAGACATAATACAAATAACTCAATAGCTGTAGAATCAAAACATTTCTACAATACTTCTTAAGGCCATCTAAATGGTATGGATTCAGATCCCTCCATGCCACATTTAATCTTTCTGCATCAAGAAATGAAGACAAAAGTAAAAGCAAATAACAACTGCTATGATATAGTCTGCGGACTAGTACAAACATTGATGGAAACATTCCTGTTAATATAACTTATTGAAATAGAGAAGCTTACTATAGTTAAGGACATAGACAAATGAATGCATAAATATTTGAAACATTGCTAACTGAAACATACTCAAAGGAAATTATATGAAACTCAAGTTCAAGGACAGGATGTTCCCAAGTATCTGTTGATAGATGAAGGATCTGCATGGCTTCATAATTCAGCAACAATATAAAGGTTTTCTTTGGGATGAGAGAGCATGCATAGAATGGCCTTCAGGGAGTGGAGCAAATAGCCAAGGGCAAGAGTATAGAAGCACTGCCTCTTGACTTTCAGAAATCCTGCCAAGGAAACAATCCCTCAGTCTGAAATTCATCTACAGTAGCTGCATACATCCATTTATTCCTTGCTGGCAGATAGTGAGAAAGAAAGACTAAAGCACTGACATAAGGAAAGCATACAAAAGTTGAACAATTGGAATAGCATTTACACCTTAGGAAGCCTTTTGTTTTAAACAACTTCAGGAACCAATTACTATTGAACTCACTCTACCTCCACTGTATATCATTGTAGAATATGCATTTGGGATGCTGAAAATGCATTTCTTTTGTCTATAAAAGATTGGAGAGTAAGAGGAATTTGGTAAGTTTATCAGAGAAAGCAGTCAAAATCATGATGATATGTACCTATCTTCAAACACAGCCTTGAATAAGAATCTGCTTATCATGCCTGTAAGTCAAGAGTAAATACAGAAAGCTGTCATAGATTTATCCTTCAATGCCAGTAGTCCCCCAGCATTTCAGGTAGAAGTAGTTATTTCCTTAGTAATGATTAATAATATCTTCTAGCATTGCCAGCCATTGCTGATACAATAAAGGGCTATCTTTGTTATTGTTATAGTGGCATAATAATTGTTGGATGTTGCTGGAGTGTGGGTAATAGCCTATGGAATCAGAAATATCTATATTCAGGATATATTTCCATGTCTACCATTGTAAGTTATACATCTAATAGCTGATTCCATTTTTCTCTCTGCATGTGAATATACAATATATACACTTTTTACTGACAATCTGAAAACTTCCAAAGAAATGGAATGACAAAAATTTGGTATGTGCACTTGGTACTGCATCATATGAGCTCCATTAAATACAAGATTGTGTTGTTTAACCAGAAACTCTACAAGACGAATTCTTCAAAACAATAAGTCAGTTTATGCTCAGATAATGAAGAGCAGCATATCTTCTCTCTGAAATACTTATTTTCCACTGATTTTCATCAACTATCCTTAGTACTTTGAACAGGATGAGGCACTCGTCATCGTATTGGCTAGTGCCAACTCTGTTTTAAATTTTCCAAACTGTTTACAAAAATAGCACTATAAAAATACATTGTAGCAATCCAAACTAGACTACACAGAATTTATTCTCTTTTGAGATTAACATAGAGATTCATAGTTCCCCCCCAGTTTTGACTTAATTTGTTATGTGAAATGACTGAATTATAGCTTATTTAATACATCATTTTAATGTAACAAGGGGATCCAATGAATTGATTCATTAGCAGGTTGCAAATGACTGTCTCAGGCTACCAACTTTTGATTTTGCAGAAGGAAAAAAGGTTTGCTTTCTGTATAAAATCTGCTTTTAGAACAGATGCAGACCAAGACCTAATTTTTTTTTGGGGGGGGGGGGGAATGAAGCTAGTGTGGAGTCTGGTAGATCTGAGTGTTTGGAACAATAGTTTTTTAAAAAAATAAACTTAAGCTTTTATTGATCTAAAATTGATTTTGAAAGGTCAATAAATACATAACTTTGAGGACCTGGTTTTATTAAAGCTGTAAGTAAAATAATGGTTGATTTCAATTCAGCTTGGAAGTAAATATAGTCAAGTTGTTAAATAATTATTTATTTGCATGCTCATCCTATGGCTGATCTTATGCATAGTGGTTGCTTTAACAAGGTCCTAATCTTGCAATCCTAAAACATGTTTACTTACAAGCAAATCCTATTGAACTTATTGTTAAATATAAGGTTGCAGATTTAGTATTTAAAGAGCAGGAACACTTTTGCTTTCAGTCCCTTATGACTCTGCTTGGCAATCTTTATAACTTGAGTAGTCTTCTGGGCAGGTGGAGGATTGTGTTCACAAACAGAATATGTCATAGGCTGTGTTCAACAGGGCCTTTGTCCTTATATGACCTCATATGAACTAATGCAAATCTTCAGGCTTACAGAATTTATTTTACTTTTTTTTTTTAATTACAGCACTAAGCCCTGTACTTGTTGCCTTGTACAAAATGGTTGTCTTATTACAACAGGATTACTGTTGATTATTTTAAACATGGTTTGTTCAATGTATCTGTTTTTTTCACTGTACATTTGCACAACACATTCAACCATAAACTAGTCACACAGAGAATGTTCACATAATATGCTTGGCTAGATTGTGATTCCACATTTTGTGACTCTGTACTTTTAATGAGTTTTGAGATCAAGAAATATTTTTTTAAGAACTAGTACTACTGAACCATATTAACTATTCTTCCACCCGAAAATCCTTAATTAGCCATTCCAAGATCTTGTCAATTCAACAGAATCATCTGTGATAAGGAATGATGTATTTAGCCATATCATTAAACCACTAAAAGAACTGTGTCAGTCAATCTGTTGAAATCTCCTCCCCCACAATATTCAGATTTACCCACTGCCATACCACCCCCTTCCCAAATAATAAATGTATTATACATTTGTCATTAGAGGAAACTGATTTTATTTTTAAAAATACATGCAATGAAGAATGTGATATTGTGGTATTTTAAAAAGAGATGGAGATCATATTTAATCATTCATTTTATATATAGAGAAAATATTTCCTCCTAAGCCAACATGGGAGAAGAAAAAGAAAAAGGATCTGAAATGTGTTTCTATATTTTTCCCATCAGCTGGGAAATTTCTATAATATTTGCTTAAGATTGTGGGAGTTAAGCAATATTTGGTGAAGTTCATACAGTATATAGCTTTGAAATTGGTCCCTTTAAATCTCTATGTTCTGTTTGGTTGCCTAGGACAACTTTTGTAAACACTAGTGAACCTACATGTGGCCTTTGAAAAAGCTGGGAGCTGAGTCTGATGGGAAAGGCTAGGTCAATTCAGAGCAGTTGGAAGCAGACTGTGAGTATTTATGTAGAAGGGAAGGTAGTGAGGCTTTGGTGCTTTCATATGCTTACTTTTGTACTTTTGGATTTTACTTTCCAGTAATCAATGAACAATTCAATATACAGTATAGTGAATTTATTGCTATGTAATTTCTACTGAATATACTACTGGAAACAAGATATTACTTTTGAAAGCATTAGAAATCTCCTCGCATAGGAAAAGATTGTCAAGGGTGTAGGCTTCCGATAAGTGTATATGGAGAAGACATCAGAGTCTCTTTACGTAGTCTTTTATTTTTTTCATCAATTAACATAAAAACAAATAAACTGATGTTTCAATTTTTTGAAAATTGATGTTTTTTCATTCATAATTTAAGCCATACAGACACTTTAGGATGAAGGACAGTGTTAGGAATAAGTATTCAGAACTGCTATTTCCAGAAAAAAATCCTTCACATTTCTCAAAATAATGTATGTATTGCTGAAGTGTTAGCATTGCTAAATGTTAGGAAATCAGTAAACTGGATGTTTTTGAAATTTGTTTTAGTTTATTATGTATTTCCCCAAAGCTCTGTATTTTGTATGTAGTTTATTTAGCTCATCATATATAAATATAAATACTATATATGAAAATGAGCAATATATGTATGTATGTATGTATGTATGTACATCAAATATGCCCTATTGCTCATTTTCTTTTTAATTTGATGTTGGAATTGCTGCCTTGTGAATTTTGCAGTGCTAAATATTGAAGGCAATATAGGAGATGGAACAGAAATTAAGATATCATATGTCAATGATGCAGAATAATTCATAGGCATGCCAGAGCATTATCCTAATTCTTGTTTCATTAAAAAGAGAGTTTTGTTAATCCTATATACTTTTAGGAATTTAATCTTGTATACTTTTGGCCTTCAATTTAAACTGCAGTGATTGGTTAGAATAAAACATTCATAATTCTGCTCCTCTTTCAGTTAACCTGAAATGTTATTATTTGAGATTACTGAATTCATGGCAGGTATTGGGATACATGTCTATTTTGGTATAAATTTTAATTCCTATGTTCAGTAGCATTTCATTCATTCATTCATTCAGTATAACTTTCTGATCACCATGAAATTCTGTATGGTTAGCAGAGGATTTAATTAAAAAAAACCTTGTAACATATTGTGTTGGAGGCAACACACTTTCTCACAGGTCTTTCTAAAGGCTGGTAAACTCAGATTCATATGAATTTAGGGGGAAATATTATTCCCTTTGTCAGGTGCAGATGCATTAATATGTCTAGGCCTAAAACCTGACTGAAAGATTTCGGGATAATCTGCTTCCGCCAGACACTCTGATTATCTTCTCAATCCTCTTTCCAAAAAATGGAAGGTTAGGACTGGTCAGAAGTTATCCAGCATCAATGCTATGTTTCTTGATGAGGGGATGGATTACTGCCTCCTTAAGAGAAAGCAGAATTAGCCCTTTACTCAAGGATGAATTCACCATCATTTGGACTCAACCAGATCTTGTCTCCTGGGATGTCTTAACTAACCCAAATGAATATGAGCTAATAAATAGATGGCTATGCCCCCAAACTCAAGGACGTAGCCCAGTGGTGACTAACCTTTTTGGACTCCTGTGCCAAAAGTTGTGCATGCGCTTGCATGCTCGCGCTCATGTGCCAGCACCCAGAAGGCCATGCACGCCCCCCCACTCCCTATGCATGCACATGCAATCCCCACCTCCATCACCCCTTACCTGCACTGTGCCTCACAGCTGATTTTTGGTCGGTTTGAGGCCTTTTTCTGCCTCCCAGAGGCTTTAGGAAGGCTTCTGCAGGCTTTTCCGGCCAAAAACTAGGCCCGTTTCGTCACTTCCAGCATTTCCGGAAAAACAGGAAGTGACAAAACAGGCCTAGTTTTTGTCCTGCAAAGCCTGCAGAAGCCTTCCTAAAGTCTCTGGGAGGTCGGAAAAGGCCTCAAACTGGCCAAAAATCAGCTGTGAGGCATGCGCATGCGCAGTGAGGTAAGTTTGCCTGCAGTTCACGTGCCAGCACAAATGGCTCTGCATGCCACCTGTGGCATGCGTGCCATAAGTTCGCCATCACGGACCTAACTTATTACTTCAAAGCTAACAGGCTGAAATATCTCCTTGATAATCAAGCCAGACCATACTGCAGTCAACTCTGAAGGGCATGCAAAATTTGAGTCTACCTCACAGCAGACCAGAGCAATTTTATCCACCAGATATCTTGAGCTTTAGAGTTGCCTTTCAGATGTTTCCTTGATCCCTCCCTCCAAATGATTAGTAATCTGAAATAAGGCTATCAGTTGTCAACTTGTGGATGTAATGACAGTGGAAAAATAGGTGCTAAATCAAGGTTCTTTTGCATATTCTGTTGGACTCACTCTTCATCTTTCTCCAATGGCACTATGAATTTCTTCTGTATCATCTTCCAAGGTTCTCTCAGAACCAGGGAATCTCTAGGGATCTACAAGAGGCCACACAGGGACAAACCAAAGTCATTGTCACTCTCTCATTCTAACGACTAAACCATAATCAAATTATACCTTACAGCTACAGGATTCTCCCCAAGCTCCCTATGAAGGACAGAGACCATTAGATCATGACAAGAGATAGATGTTAATATCCTTCAAATTCTGATCATATAGCGACTACACTCGCTCACAGTCTCTCTCTCTCTTTCCCTCTATCTCTCCCCTCCCCCTCCCCCTCTCTACACATTACCTGTGCTTCGCTACAAAACTGTGTGGTTGGGCTTAGTTTTGGGGGAGGAAAATAAGGGGGAAAAAATTCTGCCTCTGCCTACCAGCATCCATCGGTATTCATCTGGCTGGTGTCCTGTCAGTGTGTTTGGAAACTGAAACAGTATTTGCTGTGTGAGCAAGAAGGAGACAGCAAGGAGCCTGGGCGTGGCTTAGCTCAACTGTTCTGTACTAAAGCTGATTGGTGCTGTGAAACTAAAACTGAAACTCCTCTCTGCTTGTGTTTTGCATTTGGAACAGATTTCTTTTCAGGTGGGGAGGGGGAGTAGAACTCCTTAGCATCAGAGCGTATTAATAATATACAAAATACTAATGCTCTGATGGTAATTTTGAAAAATCCTTTCTTAGTGAACACCTATAAGCCAAGAGTAACATACATGCCAAATTTCAAGTTTGTAGGCTTTACAGTTCTGGAGATTTTGTGATGATACGTAAAACATATATACGATAATAGTTGATCCCTGATGACCTGATTCAGGTCTATGGTTGCCTATGAGTTACCAAGCCACTTCAGATTTTGTACTCAAGAAAAGCAGTTTGAAGTCTCCTAATACCATACAGCATATCTGGGAAACTACACCTCCAATACAGAGTTGAACTGGTGAAGGAATAAACCACTACACAGCAAGGAAGTAAGTAAGTATAGCAGCAACAATCCATCTGCTTCCTAGAGACCAACTTTACAAATGGCCTTACATCTGCTTATCTGCAGAACAGCATCTCTGAAAGCCACAAGAACCTCTTGAATGACAATAGCCATTCCACCACCCTGCCCTGGAATCATCACTGGTGCCAGTCCTGAAACCCAGGTAGGACACTTCTAAAAGGGGAATGATTACTATATCTGAAATTCTGTATTTATAAAAATCTTGAAAGAAATCACGGGATTCCCAGATAACTTATCTTTAGAAGAAGTTCAAGGATCTGAATGAAATTGTTGCTAATTGTTAGAATACTTTTGGAATAATGAAATTGGCTGTCTGTTTCTGCCAACCAATAGAAGGTTCTTTTAGAAACTAGTTTTTTTGCTCTAAATGTTGCATATATGCACTGCCCTATCCACAAAGGACATTTAAGACTTACTGATGGAGATGCAATTCAAAAATGTGAATGTTAATTCATTTGATATGGATTCACTCGGTTACCGTCATTTTGAGACTGAAATTTACAATTATACTGATTGTTGCTAGTCAAAAATGTATCTCTTCTTCTTGCCCATAAAACCAATTGTTGCTTTGTTTCTAGCATTTGTGGCAGAACCATACAGTGGTTAGTGCTAAGAAGAAATGATTGACCCAAGGTTATCCTGCTGACTTCTGTGCCTAAGGATGGACTAGAACCTGGGCTTCTCTGCTCTTAGTTCAACACCTTAACTGATTCTCCTTGTACAGTATACATATCAGCACTTTGAATGCATTACACGTACAAGGAATTATTCATGGTTCATATGTGATATAATCAAAATGATAACATATTGAAATATAAGTTTATATCTGAGGTAGTAGCCTGCTGATATGTTTCCCAACATTTGAATGAGTCTTTTTGCTGATGGAAAGAGAACACATATATTTTGACTAATTTTACTCATTTTTTTCTGGAGTTGCTTTGTTCATGATACAAGTTCTAGGCCTTTTTATTTTTAGTTATTGTAAATAAATATATATATAAATATATATAATTTGGTATTTAAGAGGTTAGACTAGTTCAGTTTCAGAGAAATGGAAATGTTAGTCCATTCTCACATAGTTCACTTGGTAAGGCAGTCATTCTCTCAGTCCAACCCTATCTTACAAAGTTATTGTTGTAAGAAAAAAATAGGAACAGATAGGTTACAAATATAAAAAATCGCATTATAAGCACTACTATTTAATTAAGTACATATAAACCAGGAAATTAAAACATCACTGTTTACAGTAATACATCAGAGGAAAATCTCTATAAACTCACTAAGTTTTCCAAAGTAAATTTTTATCTTTTGGTTCCTCAGATGAAGTGATTTAAGCAGCAGCAAATCACTTTATAGAGGATGTAAGAGTGATGATGATAATAAATATAATCATCATAATCATGTCTATCAGAGGTGGTATTCAGCAGGTTCTGATCAGTTCTGGAGGATCGGTAGCAGAAATTTTGAGTAGTTCGGAGAATGGGAAATACTATCCGACTGGAGATTTTGCAGTATCCTTCACCTGCCACGCCCACCAAGCCACACCCACAGAACCGGTAGTAAAAACATTTGAATCCCACCACTGATGTATGTGTGTGTGTATATACATACATACATACACACACACACCAATTTGATGTAGTGGTTAAGGTGCTATCATGGAAACCAGGAGGCATTAAAGCTATCTGAGTGACTTTGGGCAAGTCACTCTTCTGTCAGCCCAATTCACCTCACAGGGTTGTTGTGGGGAAAAACTATGTAGAAGGAGAAAGGAATATTGTGTGTGTTTGCAACCTTAAGTTATTTATAAAAATAATAAAGGTGGAATTTTAAGAAATTAAATATATAAATATGATTTTAATGACTTTGGCTCTTCAGTAACCAAGTTGTGTGAGTGTAGCCCTCAAAGTTGGGCAGATCCAGAAAATGAGTTGAGTAAACCATATTTAAATTAATCATGGGTAGGCAAACTCAGAACCACTTTGTGTAATGGTTAACACAAGGCTACAAACTGGGAGATTATGAATTTTTGTTCCACATTAGACACAAAAGCCATCCGTGTGATTTTTGGCCAATCACTGTCTTTTAGCCCTAGAAAGCAGGTAATCGGAAACTACTTCTGAAAAAGTCATGCCAGGAAATTTCATAGACTAGTCCAGGCAGTTGCCAGGAGTAAAAAAAACTGATACATTTGCACACATACACATACAGCAAACTCAGCTACTGCCTTAAAATTGATTTCTTTTTCTTGTGTTGCTTTTGCTTTCATATGAATATTAGGTACTTTACTATTAATAGATTATTTTCAGGAAGCAAGAGACAAAGCTATGAATGGGCTGAGACTCAAGAAAAAAAATATTAGTTTTTTATAATCATATTGATAGTTTTTCCGTATGTGTATGCGGGACAGAGAGAGAGCGAGAGAGCATTAGCTATGTAAAAATGTAAGTCATATGACAAAACATACTACTACTTGGGCATGTAGGTATATGCCATAAACCAAATGGCATTCTCCTTGGTCCTGAGCTTGGTTTATAATTCAACGCTGTTTTTAAATTGTGAAAAACAAAAAATATATTGAGGTATGTAGGATGGAAAATGAATAAATACTACTATAGGGTTATATGTTAGACAAAAAAGGACTTTTTTCATGTAGATGGGAATAATTTTCAATTCATTTTAAAATAATTTTTAGCACAAGATTATAAATTATCAAAATGGTAGAGTTGTATAGCATCTCTACAGTAAAGAAAGCTTTATTACCAGAGGGAACATTCACTAGAGATTTCCATTCTGAATAATTCATTAAGTACATATGGGTCCTCCTTTTTGCCTATTGCAAGAGATGTCTTTCATAAAATCTGGAGTCATGGGCTCTAATTTTTCATTTAAAATTACAGTCAAAGCAAACCACCAAGCCAACATTAAGACTGAATTATATCAATTGATTTTTAATAAAATAATGTCAACGGCATTGATTATTCAGTGTTACGTTGTATAATTTAGGAACATATTTCTTCATGTCTGTCACACAGGACTCACTGTGTGTGGGAGGGCAGCTATATAAACCTGATTAATAAATAAATGTAGGGGTTTTTCTATCAATTGAAGAACCAAGACCAGAGAATGATTCCCATATGACCTGGGTTTAATTTACTGTTTAAAAATTGAAACACAATTTGAACAACGTGAAGTCATATAATACTAGTATATATCTCTCTCTCTCCATCCAACTATTCACATTTAATAGACCTTTAATACTGTATACATATTCAAAAATACTTTGATACTTTGGTTTAGGTATTTTACTTTGTATACATATACATCAATAAGATTTACTTTTTTTCTATTATACATACAGCACATATACATACAGTAAAATTAGGTGCTTATTGTGTATAGTTTTTATGATAAAATAGTATTTGCTACTTATTATAAAGTATTACATATGCTTATATATATTTGTGCCTTTGAGTCAATCTTGATTCCTGTTGACTGCCTAGAAAAATCCATGCAAGTTTCTTGGCAAGATTTTTGGAAGAGGCTTGCCACCATTTTCTTCCAAGGGCTGAAACTAGCCTAAGATCACCCAGCTGGCTTGTGCCTGAAGAGGGACTATTGCTCATGGTCTTCTGGTCTCTATCTAGGTGCCTTAACCACTGTCCCAAAGTGGCCCTCTTAATTTATTTAGAAAACATACGTTTTCAATAGTATCGTCTTAATTAATAGCTCGTTCATTATAATAGCATTAATAGCTGATTTGAGGGGGGAATTTTGGTAGAAAATGTTTGGATTTCATGTTATACTGCAGGAAAGATATAGGCAGAAGACAATTTAATTGTATCTATATATCTATATCTATATCTATCTATCTATCTACCTACCTATCTACCTACCCTTAGCATGCACTTTCCACCCATCCCCGTTAAAAAAAAAAAGTCAAAACTTGTATGTCGTAGTAGATAAGGAAAAAAAAACCCTTGATCTCTCTTGAACCTTGTAACCGATTTTGCCCCACTCTTTTTAAAAGTAAAGGATCTACAAAGAGAAGGATATATATTATTTGCAATATATGCTTGCCTAACCTCTTACTTAACTCCTGACGCTTGGAGGTAATTTGTCACCAACCACGAGTGGGCAAAATATTGCCTATATGGATCTAATCTAGCTTTAAAAAAAATGTTATATTTTCTAAATAAATGAAGAGGGCCACTTTGGGAAAGGAATGTCATCCTTAGAATAGGAGCACGCGCGATTACGAGACGAGGAGCGCGCGAGAAGGTGGGAAGCAGCCGACGGCTGCAATCTCTTTGCTGCTTGAGCGCCGATCCCATTGAAATCGATGGGCTCTATTTACGACGGCATCTTCCCGGGGGGTCAGGCAGAGCAAATCCAGACGTGGTTGAGGCCAACTTCGACCCCGGAGGTTCCATCTCTCCAGTCGCCGAGCTCAAACCCATTTGCATCGCCCCCTGCTTAAAGCCGCTCGAGGGAGCGGAGCCGAGGCGGGGCTTTCCATTTTCCCAACAGAAGCGGGGGGGACGCGGTAAGAAGCGAAGCCTCTTCCTTCAGGCCGTGCTTCAGGCCTGGCTCACTACTCCACGGGGAGCACCCCACACCTGCTGTTACCACACGGAGCACGTGAAAGCCCCAAAGCCGCCTTTAACTGTAACGGCTCCTGTCGTGCAGTCAGCTTGCCCTCCCCTTTTTTTAGATGGTGAGTGGATTGCTCCGGCCTCTCAGCTTTACCGCAGCGCCCTCCAGTTCAGTATTTAGGTGGCCTCTGGCGAGCGTTAGAGTAGAAAGTGCTGCTGGAGAAGGGCGGGTTGGAAAGGCAATCCGCGAAAGAGGGGCTGTCGACGTCCTATAGCCGAGAGGAGCCTGTTGGAACATCACGACCCCGCCAGAAAGCCACAGCCTTGGATGGGGGGGCGGTACTTGCTGCTTGCAGGTAATTTCTGAACGTTATTTTCTCATCCTCTTGTCTCCAACCTGAGTTTCTGTATGTGTGTATGTGGGGGGCAGTTATCCAGTGCATCTATTCTAGAGTAAAGCAGAGAGATGCTTTGGCAGCCTTTTCTAGCTTAACACAGACACAAAGGGGTGGTGGGGTGAAATTGATGCTGCACCACTGGGAAGGGAGGGTGTCATATGAGGATGAGAGGATGGTGGAGGCAGCAGCAGCAGCTGCTGCTAGTGATTCAGCATTGTTCCTTGCAAAAAGGAGATGAAATAAAAAGGCTTTCCTTTTGGTTGCCCATACCAGTGAGGATCTCGAGACTTTCAGTGAAGAGCTGGACCTTCAACTCCTTTTTCCAGCTGCTCTCTGGGGGGCCCCCGACTTCTGTTTTCGTTTCCTACTTTCAAGAGCTTTGGGTTCCAACTCTTCTCTAAGATATTGTTGGAATAATGCAATAAAATATGTATTCGCATGAAATGAAAAGAAGGACCTTATCTTGGAACATTCCCTGTCATTCTAAAAGTCACTTGATCCCTAATTACAGGAATGGGAGCCCATACAAAGTACATTCAGGCCTGGATGTGATAATATGACTGATGAATTTGGATTCTTTCTGTAATCCAAGAAAGAGGATATCGAATTGGTATGAAGGCACTTAGCTTCAGTGCAGTGGTTTAGAATATAAAATGGATAAGCGTCATTCTGACATGGGCATCTGTGTAATGGAAATACTATTAATATATTTTATATGTATAAGAAATGACTTGATGTGACGATAGATTTCATTGATTGTACAGTTTCTCTTATGTTTGATAGATAAATCATAT